GTGAGATCTCGTATATCAATCAAGTCACCGAACCACATCAAGCAGCCACTTCCCCCAAATCTGACATCTGCATCTGTATATGCTGTGCAGGAGCAGTTTGTCAAACACATTTGCTCACATTCCTTGAGGTTCATTGTCATGTTTACCGTGGAATTGGATGTATCCGGCCATTTCAACCCTGTATGTTTGAGAAACATATCTGTTTCACAATCCGAGGGTGTCTCTCTAACACACCCGCCAGACCAATTTCCTGAATTCCAATCTTCTGGAGATTTGGGCAAATAGCCTTCCAGGCATGAACATACAGGAGATCTATAGAAATTGCAGTTAGCAAATTTTCCACAGAAGGCATATGTTTGGCAGACATCAAATGCAGGCACCATCAGAAGCTCCCAATCATGAATCCCTCTTGTCAAGAAGAACTGAAAAAGACCAGATGAATTCAACACGAACATTGTTTCAACTGAGCTATCTACAGGCTCATACCTATAATATGCCTCTTCATTAGTCGACACATATTGAGATGAAATTATAGAATTTGGCTCAGCACGACGCCCTGCAAAACTAATTCCATTCCATGGCCCTGCCCTGTACTGAATTTTAGGACCCTTCTCAACTACTAGCTGTGGAACCCCTTGAGTCTTCATACGTATAGAATATATACCTGGAGCTGGGTCATCTGTGCTTCTCCAGGATGATAAAAACCAATCAAACCCGGTTTTTAAGTTTTTTCCCAGCTTCATTCCCGGTAGTAACGTATCAGATGGATAATCAAAACTCTGCCATAGATAGTCATCTTCGTTGTAATTTTTTTCTTCTTGCACTACAAGATTGCCTGAGTCCAAGAGCTGAGCAACTGGAGTTTCTGCACTTCTTGATGTATTGGATGACCAAATGACACCCTTTGTGCTATTAAGAAGAGCAAGAATTCCCTTTGAGTCCAGTACCAGAAGCCCTTCACCATCAGAAAGTGGATTTTCTCTATTAGCTACCCACACGACTGTCTGAGTTCCTGGTTTGTTATACCATATCCCCAAGTACTGACCCTTGGAACTTCTGAAGAATCCAAGCTCAAAGCTTCCTTTGGATGAAACTAGAGTTTCACCATTTTTCATTGATTTATCTGGAACAATAGTATCTAGTGCAGCAGGTCCACTTATAATGGAGAACAAGATTAAGCATATAACAAACCTCAGAAAGCCTTCCATTATTTTCTCATCAAAGAAGCATAGATTATGAATGAAGATTTTAGGATTATACGAACCTAAAGATGCTGAAAAGAATTACACGAGTTGCATTTCTTTCTTGGTCATCTCAGTTATTTCCACGAGCAGGACCAATTCTAGTGAAACTACCAAATATTGATTGGTCTAATGGTAGTTTGTGATAATTCAAATGGTGGCGTCTTGGATTTTGATTTGTATACCTAAAATCAATCAAGCCCTTTATCCATTTCTATACGTTTTATAACTTCTAAATTACGGATTTCTGGTTACCATAAATGCGGTCATGGTCTGATGCAATTGTTAGACTTTTGGAAGTAAGAAGAAAGGGTTGAGAGAGGACTTGGAGGAGAGTAGGAGGAGAATAGAACTTAGAACATGACATAGAACATAAAGTCAGAAACATGGAAGGGTGCCGACATTCACCTAACCGGAGAGGAGAAACCATGCTTTCTCTTACTCCATTTTCATTCAATTTCTTCCATCCTTTTTATAGAGTACTTTGCTTCCAAGCCTTAACATTTTGTTGTGATGATGATTTGGAATTTGAACATGTGTTCATTTGTCTATGATGATTGCTCTTGGTATTAATTAACTGTGATTGTTCTTGGTATGCAAATTTTGTCAAATCCTTGCTCTGTGTATTCATAGCTTGGAAAGTGATTTCTTTCTGTTTCATTTCACTTATGTGAGAAAAAGTTTTGGTTCATAAATTTTAGTTGACCGGTGGGTTTTCATTGAATCTTGGACACAGTCAAAATGAGATGTTTTTCTATGATTTTGTCTTAGTGCAGAATATGTGATTCTGGAAGTGGAATGGGTTAAAATTTTGTTGCTTAATTCTTGTTTGGTAATAAAGTGAAAGAAAATTGAGTAGGATTGCAGTTTTTTAGATCCGTCTCCTTTATTGTTACTTTGAGGTGCTTGGTGGTCAAAGCCATAGCCAAGATGGTGAAGGTGGTTCGGCGTCCACCGCCACCAACCTTTAGCTCATTGCCTGAGCAATAATTTCTCCGATGATGGGTTTCTAGTTTTCATTCATCTCTTTTATTAGTTTTATAGCTTAATATTAAATATTTATACATGTGGGAAAAGGAAAAAACAATGCTAGCTGGTTTTTGGTCCAAGTCAGCGCCATGTCATTGCCCAGTCATCCTTTGTTAATTGGGTAATAGAGAAATTGACAGAAAGATGGTGTTGCGTGACGTCATAGTTAACAGAAGGGGTGATTTGTGGAGTTCAAGTAGTAGAGGGGCTGATTTGCACTGTTTTTAACTAGAGCGGCTGGCATGCCACAACAAGTTAAGTAGAGGGACTGAATTGCCCCTTCTGCCCATTATTGTGACAAACTAAGCTGAAAATGTTGATAAAATGAAGTTGTAACGAAGAGCAAATGAAATGAAAATGCCGACACAAATGTAAATTATCATTCATGTATTGTAAGAAAAATATCATCTACAAGAGGTTTTTGTCTTACTATCCACCTTATAATGGACTGCAAGATCAGTGCTATAAAAAAGGAGAGGGAGGTGGATCTAATATCAGAAACTCACTTTTTTTTAAGGTTTTAATCTTACAGTTTGGTGTAGGACGAAACTGGAAGGTAGTTTTTTTTTTTTTTTTTTTTTTTTTTT